AGATAGTGAAAACAAAAGGGGTTCAAGAATCGAGCCCTGTGCGACCCCACAGGAAAGAGGCACTGACACATCCATCTATCCATTATCTTTACCCACTTCTTCCTTTTCGAGTCACGGGGGTCACTGGTACCTGTGTCCAGCCATCACTGTGCGAGAGGCGAGGTACACCCTGGACAGGTCTCCAGTCCATCACAGGGACACATAGACAAACAAGACAAACAAACATTCACTATCTCACTCACACTTAGGGACAATTTAGAGTTACCAATCAGAAGTTTTTAAAAAAAGGTAGTGTTCAAACTGTACTATCCATCCATCCATCCATCCATTATCTTTACCCGTTTATTCCATTTTGGGTCACGGGGGTCGCTGGTGCCCATGTCCAGCAATCACTGTGCGAGGGGCGGGGGACACCCTGGACGGGTCGCAAGTCCATCACAGGGCCACATAGAGACAAACGAGACAAACAAACATTCACTCTCTCACTCACACCTAGGGACAATTTAGAGTTACCAATCAGCCTAACATGCATGTTTTTGGTCTGTGGGAGGAAACCGGAGCACCCGGAGAAAACCCACGCATGCACGGAGAGAACATGCAAACTCCACCCAGAAAGGCCCCTGGACCGGGGTTTGAACCAAGGACCTTCTCGCTGAGAGGCAGCAGCTCTACCAGTTGCGCCACCGTGCTGCCTTCAAACTGTACTAAAAACACATTATGTAGTGCAATAAAAGTTGTGTAAAAAGAACAAGTACATGATCATATTTGTTGATATAGATCATGCTGCACTGCAATATGAGCCAGCAGAGCATGCTAATGCTAACATTCCCATGTTAGCATTGCACATTAAAAATATAAATCATGTGAATAAAATGTGAAATGTATTTCAGTCATTTTTATGCTCTGAAGTTCACTTTTACTTTTGGCTCACGTTGGCTATTCCAACTATAAAATCAGTTTCTTTGTACAGAAATATTTTTAGTAGCTTTTTATGGGTAATCTTCATAATTTTGCATGCTAAAATGTGTGATATAGTTACTTCTAAAGTAGTTTTCTTTACTTAAATGGGGAACCTCTGAAAACAAATTTAATTTGTTTAATCAGGCAATTTATGTCATAAGAAATTTGAATGTGGAACAAAATTTTCCTCATTTAAAGATAAAATAACTTAAAATAATTAGTTCAAACCCCTTTAGAAGGTGCACAACATTCATAATGATAATATTTTTTGTGTAATATTTCTACTTAATAATGTTGCTGAGGGATTGTACGGTGAAATAATAAATAATAAAGGCAACAAACACAGTTTCTGTAAGACATGAACCTGTTTGTGGAGTGTAGCAGTGTTTCTTGAGGCAGATCAACTACTGGTCCAGACTTGTTCAGATTCAGAAGATCCACTGTAATCACACGTTTGCATAAATTAACTTTATGTCAGTTTCTTGGGGACAAAAAATGTTGATCGACCAGCAAAATGTTGCCGTCCTTCTGTTTTACTTATGTCTTCTACTGTACCCTACCAACATATTTATAGAGCATCTGGCCTTTCTGTACCATAGTCTTTTCTTTAATGAACACTGAACAATTAATTGCATTTGCAACAATATCGCAATATGATCAAACGAGATTTTCTAATTGCAAAGGCCGCAATTTGACTGGTTACGTGACTTTCGAGCGAGTGCAGCAAAGCTGAGCAGGAGAAGTCAACACTGTGTTTTAACCGGTTGCACAATGGCGTCAGGCTCGACGGAAGCTGACACATTTGAAAGTTTGGTAACAAAGAGGGGCAGCACGTCCGTTGTTTGGAATTATTTTGGCTATAAAAAAAGAAGACGCTGTGCAACGACATGTATTGTGCAGAACCTGCCTTGCTGCTGTTGCTACCTCTCGAGGTAACACCACAAATTTTGATCATTTCTTTAAAAAAACACCACAAAGCCATTTACAGTAGTTGCATGGCTAGAATGCCAACGACCAGTGCTTCAGCTTGAAGTAAACAAAATACCAGCCAACAGGGACCACTGACCGAACTGTTCGAAGGTATTACTCCATATGAACATAATTCAAAACTGCACGTGGAAATAACTCAAGCAATAACGGAGTTCATAGAGAAAGACATGATGCCCATTAATATAGTGACCAAGCCTGGGTTTATGGCTTTGGTAAACACAATGGATAAGCGGTACAGAACGCCCTCGCACACACATTTTAGCCAAGTTGCTATGGAGCTATACAAAAAGTGCATAAACAGAGTTGCAGCAGAGCTAAAAACAGTGGAGTTTGTTGCAACTGAAACAGATTCACTTATTGGCATTGAAAAATAATTGCATATTAAATCGCAATACTGAGTTAAAAGAAAAATGCAATTAGAATATTTTCCAAAAACGTTCAGCTCTAATGAACACAATGTAGTGAGTAAAAATAAAGATTACCAATAAGACTTCTAGGCTCCTGAGACGTTCTCATCCGGTGTAACGGGGCCGTCATAATGCTCCTATAGACATACAGACCTTCAGTTGTGACCAAACTGGTGCCTTTGCTCTTTCTAGCTAATAAACTCATTGGAAAAAATGGGTTTACAATCTTGGGTCAGACAAATTCTGCCAATTAAAACACCCCTGGGATTAATAAATGGGATGGAATAAACAGCTATAAATCAACTACCCAGGTTTTCTTGTCTCCTCTTTTTATCATGAGAGTAGCCACAAT